GCTTGATTACTATCTTCTCTTAGCATGACTCTTGAAATAAAAACATCTTTATACCATCTAAAATCACTTAATTGCAGGCATCTTAAATTACTAAGCTTATGATGGATTCTGGCTTGTGTATGACTGGGTGTTCCTATGAAATGATCAACTATTGTGTAAAGCAGAGTATTAACTCCATCTTCTATACCTTGTCCTAAATTCTCATCAAATAAAGGAAGACCTTCTTCATTAAGCTTGACTGCATGGATTATATTTGATCTAGACTCATCACTTAAGTGTTTATCCCACCAAGAACGTAAGGTTCCGGTGAAACCTGTTTCTATTAAAGGCACAATTTTAGACTGTCTAAAACTGTGATTAGTGATATAACTATTGGCAACCATGGACATATGGGTTAACTTATTCATTATTTCTTGTTCTGACAAACTGTCTATATTCCATTCATACAACTTATCATAAGAGACTGAAAATTGACTGAGGTTATTCCTTTCTTCAAACTGGATATCTAAGGGTGTTGTCTTAGGATACCAGTTCTTAGTTAAACTAGTGGCGTTGACTCTGTTTGTTAACCGTTTAACCTTTAACTCCGAATCTAATTCCAAATTTTTAAATGCATTTTCAATTTTTGAAATATTACTAGATTCTTCAATTTCCATACTATCAACTGACTCAGTGTCGGAAAGGGTGACTAAAGCTGCATTAGATCCTAGAACTTTAAGACCAGATTTCTCAGTTTTAACTGGGGTTAACTGCTCAAGCATTTCTTCTATTTTTCTCATGGTAGGTTTTGTCTAAAGGGTAGGATGCAACTGTAAATCTTGAAATTTAACTAAGGGTTTTTCTTTCAAAGGCATAGAGCTTGACTCAGGAAGGAGTTTGTCTACTTTAGTTTCTATTTTATCTAATTGGTTCCCAATAACTATTAGACTTTTATTCGTATAATTATTTTGCTCAATTACTAATTTATCATCATTAGCTTCTGGGAATTTAAAGGGACTGGCAATTATTTTTGTTTTTCTATGATTGATAACTATTGTTTCTACTGGGGGATGACTAGATATGACTTCAATGTTGTCTACTTTTTTCCATTTTTCTTGGGTTAAAGTTTTTAACTCATTTGGCATATAATGACTTTCAGCAAAATCTAAGTAAAAAATTTCTAACTTGGCTGACCGCATATAATCTTTCCATTCATTAAAGATTTGCTGTCTTTTTTCACGACTAGGGTAGGCTGTGTGGTAGCTATTTCGCCTGTCTTGATTCTCAGGAGCTTGAAGATGACTTTCTAATCTTTTCCAATTAATTTTGAATTTCCTATTAAGGGTTCTTAATTGATTATCTACAACAACTGGGTAGAGATCTGTCTCAAAATCAGCTTGTGTGGGTGATTCAGGGGATTCAAATTTTTCTTCTTTGGCTGGTTGCTTATTGTAGCAAGGATGACTAACCTGGGAAGTTTTTCGTAAAGATTCTAATTTAAAATCTATCATTGCTTTTTCTAACACTAGGTCTCGTTCTAGAGTGGAAGAAGAAGCTGCGAATGAATGTCTAGTAGGGATATGTCTCTGGGATTGACCAGGTGTGGGCAACTGGTGTAACTGGACTGTAGATTTTTGTGGTGGTTGATTACCAAAGTTAATTTTAACTATGCCGTCCAAATATTGTTGAATATAATCTAAATTATTTAGACTATGTTGAATTGGGGCAGGCTGATTCTCAGCGGTGAGTGTCCAATCTAGAGGAAGGGTGACGTCTCACCATTTAATTGTGTGAGGGACTCGTATATTGGCCTCGGGTTTGCTACTTTGAATTAACAGAGTTTGATCTTTTGGACTTTTATTAAGAGCTTGAAAATTCATATAAGCTCCTGTGACTTTATAATAAGTTCTATAAACTAGGGGCAATGGTTGAGTGCCTAGTAAAACCTCGTATCCTGAAGTTTTGATATTTAAAGTTAATGTTTTTAAAATATGGGGATCACTTAGACTTATTGTGAAATCAGGGTAACAATCAAAATATACTGGACCATTAAACAAACTTGATTCAATTATTCCTAGTGTACTATCACTAAAATTAGTGAATCTAGCATCTCGAAGATAGAGAAGGATAGAAGCTTTTAATCTTAATCTGGTGAGAGGCTTGACTGCAACTTGAACTAGACCAATATGTAGGAAATTGTTTCCATCATTTTTATGTTTTTTGATCGACTCAAGATTAAGCAACTAGCAAGTTTTATGTTCTTTACTTAGGGCATAAACTTGTTCAACTGTTTTGACATGGGTGGTTGACTTAAAATTGGAAAGAGACCATTTTTTCTTATAGATGTCCTGACTGGGGACCTTAGGTATATTTCAATCTTTATAATCTAATTCATTACTAGAATCATATTCTAATTGTTCTTCATTAACTATCTCTGGGAGACGACTAATACTGGCTCTAGAGATGCTCGAATTACAAGAGTTTGTTCTAAATAAACAACTCATTTTTTGCTTAGGGACTGGGGTCGACTTCTAAAGAAGAAGGTGAACAGAAACTTCTAAAACCGACTTATTACAAAACAAGAAACCTAGTAGCTCTCTCGCCCTTCGCTCAGGCCGCAACCGCTCATGCCACACCTGAGACTTACTGTTTAGACTCTAGGACTTACTGTTTGGACACCAAGAGAGAGAACCAACAGATAACTTGAAATAATAAGAGAATATAAGAAGAAATTGAAAACTTCCACTCAGAAGCTTAAACCAGCCACTTGGGCTTGAATGAGTAGCAGACCTAGAACAACTCTTCAACTCTTACAGCTCTGATACCATAAGGGGTCTAGAACCAGGACGGATTAGCATAGATGGTTAAGAAGCTCAAATAATAAAAGATGCAGAATTTATGCATGAATGAAATTAATGCATATGTGAAAATACTAAAAATATAAATAATTGAAAACATTGTACTTAGAGAAACCTTGATTGAAAGATTTTATTGATAGATAGCACTCAGAATTTACAAGAGTTGTTCTAGGTCTGCTACTCATTCCCACCCAAGTGGCTGATTTAAGCTTCTGAGTAAAAGTTTTCAGTTTCTTCTTCTATTCTCTTATTATCTCAAGTTATCTGTTGGTTCTCTCTCTTGGTGTCCAAACAGTAAGTCCTAGAGTCCAAACAGTAAGTCCCAGGTGTGGCATGAGTGGTTGCGTCCTGAGCGGAGGGCGAGAAAGCTACTAGGTTTCTTGTTTTGTAATAAGTCGGTTTTAGAAGTTTCTGTTCACCTTCTTCTTAAGAAGTCGACCCCAGTCCCTAAGCAAAAAATGAGTCGTTTATTTAGAACAAACTCTTGTAATTCAAGCAGTTCTAGAGCCAGTATTAGTAAGTTACCTGAGTTAGTTAATGAAGAACAATTAGAATATGATTCTAGTAATTGAGAACAATTAGATTTTAGAGATTGGAATATACCTAAGATCCCTAGTCAAAATATTTATAAGAAAAAATGGTCGCTTTCTAGTTTTAATTCACCCACTCATGTTAAGACAGTTGAACAAGTTTATGCTTTAAGTAAAGAACATGAAACATGCCAGTTGCTTAATCTTGAGTCAATTAAGAAACATAAAAATGATGGAAATAATTTCTTGCACATTGGTCTAGTTCAAGTTGTAGTCAAGCCACTTACCAGATTACGATTAAATGCGTCTATCCTTCTCTGTTTATGAGATGCTAGATTTACTAATTTCAGTGACAGTTCTTTAGGAATCATTGAGTCTAGTTTGTTTAATGGCCCAATTCATTTTGATTGTTATCCATATTTTACAATAAGTCTTAGTGATCCTCATATTCTAAAAACATTAACTTTGAATATTAAGACTTCTGGTTACAAAGTCCTCCCAGGTACCCAACCATTAGCCCTAGTTTATAGAATTTATTACAAAGTTACCGGTACTAATATGAATTTTCAAGCCTTGAATAGAAGTCCAAAAGATCAAACTCTTTTAATTCAAAGTAACAAAGCCGATGCTAATATTCGAGTTCCTCACACAATTAAATGGTCTGATGTCAGTTTACCTTTAGATTGGACATTAGTTACTGAGAACCAACCTGCCCCTATCCAACATAGTTTAAATAATTTAGATTATATTCAACAATATTTAGACAGCATAGTTAAAATTAATTTTGGTAATCAACCTAAGTCCATAGTCCAATTACAGCAGTTGCCCACACCTAGTCAGTCAAAGAGACATATTCCTGCTAGGCATTCTTTTGAAGCTTCTTCCTCTTCTACTCTAGAACAAGACCTAGAGATAGAAAAAGCCCTAATTGATTTAAAATTAGAATCGTTAAGAAAAACATCCCAGGTTAATCAGCTATGTTATGGTAAGTCACCAGTTAAAGATGAAATAAAGCCTGACTCTCCTGAGTCACCCACACAAACTGATTTTGAAGCCAGTGTTTATGTAGTTGATAATCAATTAGGAACCCTTAATCGACAATTCAATATTAATTGGAAAAGATTAGATAGTCATCTTAATGCCCCTGAAAATCAAGAAAGAAGAAATAGCTATCATACAGCCTACCCTAGTAAAGAAAAAAGACAGCAAATCTTTAATGAATGGAAAGAATATTTGCGGTCAGATAAGTTAGAAATATTTTACCTAGATTTTATTGAAAGTCTCTATATGTCCAAAGAGTTAAAAACTTTAACCTAGGAAAAATGGGAAAAAGCAAGTAACACTGAGGTCATATCTAGTCACCCCCCCAGTAGAAACAATAATTATTAATCATAGAAAGTCTAAAGTTTTAGCCAGTCCCTTTAATGTCCCCAATCACAATGATGATAAGAAATTAATTGAACAAAATAATTATACCAACCAGAGTCTAATAGTTATAGGAAATCAATTAGACAAGACAGAGACCAAAGTAGATAAATTGCTCCCTTATGATTTAGGAAAATCATCAAAAGAAAAATCCTTAGTAAAATTCCAAGATTTACAGTCGCATCCTACCCTTAAGACAAAACCGACTATGAAGAAAATAGAAGAAATGCTTGAGCAATTAACCCCAGTAAAACCTAAGAAATCCAATCTTAAAGTTTTAGGTTCCTCTGCAGCTTTAGTTAACTTATCCGAAACTGAGTCAGTTGAAAGTATGAAAACAGAAGAATCTAGTAATATTTCAAAAATTGAAAATGCTTTTAAAAATTTGGAATTAGAAAATGAATTCAAAGTTAAAAGGTTAACAAACAGGGTCAACCCTACTAGTTTATCTAAGAATTGGTATCCTAGACCAACCCCCCGGGATATCCAATTTGAAGAAAGAAATAGTCAAAACCAGTTTTCAGTTTCATCTGATAAGTTATATGAATGGAATATAGATGGTTTGTCTGAACAAGAAATAATGAATAAGTTAACCCATATGTCTATGGTTGCCAATAGTTACATTACTAATCACAGTTTTAGACAGTCTGAAATTGTGCATTTATTAGAAACTAGTTTCATCGGAACCTCATGTTCTTGGTGGGATAAACATTTAACGGATGAGTCTAGAAGACAAATAATCCATGCAGTTAAACTTAATGAAGATGGTCTCCCTATATTCGATGAACAATTAGGTCGAGGTATAGAAGACGGAGTTAACACTTTGCTTTACACAATAGTTGAACATTTCATAGGAACACCTAGTCATACGCAAGCCAGAATTCATGATCAACTTAGTAATCTGAGATGCCCCCAATTAAGTGATTTTAGATGGTATAAAGATGTATTTATTTCCCGAGTCATGCTTAGAGAAGATAGTAATCAAGCTTTTTGGAAAGAAAAATTTATTAATGGTCTTCCTAATTTATTTGCCCAAAAAATTCGCACAGTTTTAAGCAATGATCAAGGTCATATAGATTATGATAATTTGACTTATGGTAATATAATTAGTACAATTAATCAAGAAGGCATGAAAATGTGTATTGACATGAAAATCAGTAAGCAAATACAGTCAGAAAGAAAGTCTGCTAAATATGAGTTAGGAAATTTCTGTGAACAATACGGTTTAGCTGCCATTCCTCCTTCTAGGAAAAACAAGTCTAGTTACCATAACCGACAATTTAGTAAAAGTCGTCATTATTCCCGTAAGAAACAATCATTCCGACATAATAATGAGTTTTATAGTAAAAAGAAGTTTAACCCGCGAAAAAATTGGTCAAAAGCACCGAAAAAGAATAAGAATAATAGCTTTAAGAAAAGTACCGACAGCCAATGGATTCCCACCACAGTGGTGGTGGATTTCCCCTCCCCTCCATGGCTCCTAGGATCAAATCCCAGTGGGATTTCTTTTCTCCAATGTAACCAAAAAAGAAAAGTACCGACAAAGAAAAGTAAAATGCTACAAATGTCAAAAGTTTGGCCACTATGCCAATGAGTGTAAAGTAAAAGATACAATTAAACAGTTGAAAATCACAGATGAAGAAAAAGACAAATTAATTAAAGTTTTAGAATTACGCAATTCTGAGTCTAGTGAAGCCGACACGATAATAAGCCCAAGTTCAAACAATTATGAGTCATCAGATTCCGAGTTAAGTTCACCTCGAGTCCAATTAGGATGTAATGATAAATGCTGCAATGTTTGAAAATCAATTAGTGTCCTTACTAAACAGAAAGAACAAGAAGAATTGTTAATTGATTTAATTAGCAAAATAGAGAATTCTAAGTTAAAATCTGAGTACTTGAAAAAGCTAAGGAAAGTCATTAGTCAAGAAGACACAAGTCACCCAAGTCCCCAGAAGATAAATCTGAACACTACTTTAGAAAGATTCAATAAAAGAAAAGAAGTCACCCTATAGGATTTACAAATAGAGGTAAAACTAGTAAAAAAAGAGATAATAGAGTTAAGACAAATAAGTCATAAGTTACAAACCGAGAATTATGAGATTAAACAAGATTTAATTACTTTAATGGAAAAGGAAGCCTCTGAGTCAAAAAGCCAACCAGGAAGTCCAGCCAATTCTGATGGTGAACCTTCCTCCAATAACCAAACCCTTAATTTAATTAAACAAGTAAATTTTAGGAAATGGTATTCTAAAGTCACCATATTTGTTAAAAAATTTGAGTTCAACACAGTTGCCCTTTTTGATTCAGGAGCCGACCTTAATTGTATTCAGGAAGGTTTAGTTCCTACAAAGTATATAAGAAATCAAAAGAATCATTAAGTACAGCCTCAGGAAAGTCGCTTCAGTTAAATTATCTTAGTCAAAAATAAAATCTGTTTTAAAACCTCATTTGTCTTAGTCAAAAATATCACTGATGAAGTCATCTTAGGATTACCTTTTATTAGCATGTTGTATCCTTTTCAAGTAGAATACGACGATGTCATATCTACCAATTTAGGTGAGAAGTCAAATTTGAGTTTTTAACTAAGCCTGAGTTACAGAATCTGAAAGCTTTACAGAAACATGCAGTTGCTAAAATAGTTAAAATAATTCAAAATAAAGATAAGCAATTAGATTTTCTTAAAGAAGAAGTAAAGTTCAAAATAATTGAACAAGAACTTAGTAATGAGTCTTTACAATTCCAAATCCAAAACTTTGAAGAAAAATTAAAAAATGAAGTATGTTCTAATTTACCTAACGCCTTTTGGCACAGGAAAAAGCATGTAGTCAGTCTCCCATATGTTAAAGCCTTTAGCGAAAAGAATATTCCCACTAAAGCTAGGCCAATCCAATGAGTCAAGAAATAATGGAGTTTTGTAAGTCTGAAATTACTGAGTTATTATAGAAAGGAATAATTCACAAAAGTAAGTCGCCTTGGTCTTATCCTGCTTTTTATGTTCAAAAAAATGCTGAGTTAGAACGCGGAGTCCCAAGACTAGTTATTAATTATAAGCCACTCAATACAGTCTTAGAATGGATAAGATACCCAATTCCTAATAAAAGAGATTTGATAAATGGATTAGGAAATGCAGTTGTCTTTCCTAAATTTGATATGAAAAGTGGTTTTTGGCAAATTCAAATCACTAAGTCTGATAGGTATAAGACAGCATTTGTTATTCCATTTGGTCATTATGAATGGAATGTTATGCCCTTTGGTCTTAAGAATGCGCCTAGTGAGTTCCAAAATATAATGAATGAGATATTTAACTCTTATAGTCATTTCTCCATAGTTTATATCGATGATGTCCTCATTTTTTCTCAGTCTGTAGAACAACATTGGAAACATTTGCATAAGTTCCTCCAGATAATTAAACAAAATGGTTTAGTCATCGCTGCTAAGAAAATTAAGTTATTCCAAACCAATATTCGATTCCTTGGTTTCAATATATGTCAGTCACAAATCAGTCCAATAGATTGAGTTATTCAATTTGCTAATAAGTTTCCTGATCAAATCCTCGATAAAAGCCAGTTGCAAAGATTTTTAGGATCTCTAATATCAGAATCTGAGAAAACAATGTAAGCCTTTATTTGATAGGTTGCAGATCAATCCTCCTCCTTGGTCATCTATTCATACAAACATAGTCAAACAGATAAAAATTCATGTCAAGACACTTCCCTGTCTTGGTATCCCTTCAGTTGATTCATTCAAAATAGTTGAAACTGATGCCTCTGAAATTGGTTATGGAGGTATTCTTAAACAAAAAATCAATTCAAGTCAATCTGAACAAATTGTTCGTTTTCATTCTAGTATTTGGACACAGTCGCAAAGTAATTATATTACTATTAAGAAATTATCTATTGTATTATGCATTACTAAATTACAAGTTGATTTATTAAATCAAAAAATTTTAGTTCGAGTTGATTGTAAGTCCGCTAAGCATGTATTAAAAAAAGATGTTCAAAATATTGCATCCAAACAAATATTTGCACAATGGCAAGCAATTTTAAGTATTTTTTATTTTAATGTTGAATATTTGAGAGGAAGTGAGAATTATGTTCCTGATTTTCTTACTAGAGAATTTCTGCAGGATAAACAATGGCCTCAAGAAAAGATAAGCAAAAGGAACAAGTCAATCAAAACCAGACCCAGTTAAAACAGAGTCGCCCTCTCAGATCGTCCCTTTCTCGGGATGTTCTCCTATTCCAGTTGCAAACAGATTCTCTAGTTTAGGAACCACAGTTGGCCAATTTCGTCCTAATTACCAATCAGCATTAGTTTCCAGTTACGATCCTTTGCAAATCACCCCTCACGTCACTCCAGTTGCTCCTTCCCCAATCTCTTTCCAAAAATCCTCTCCTTATTTCCCAAAAAGTAGCACTCATCTTTTTGTTATTGAGCCCATTTATAAGTCTTACTACGCCAGATATGATGATTAAAAATTATTTTCCCCCACATTTCCATTATATGCCACAAAGTCCATATAAAACCCAGTATTACCGTGATATTCTCCATGAGACCCAGTCAATTGAAATTAAGCCTACCAGAGATAAAAATCAACCCCATATCATCCTCTATCATTTCTTCTATATTCGCCAAATCTTAAGCCAAGAAGATTGGGGTAAACACCCTTATGATCTTAGAACTCTTCAGTCGAACCTCCAATTTTGCTATGCTGATTATATTGAAGCTTGGTATTCCATTTTCCTCCGCCAAACAGTTGACTACAGTCATTCATGGTTCATCAATTTTGATAGCAAATTTAAAAGCCCTTTTCCCTTTTGGTTTCTCCATTGGTGGGAAAAGCATGGTCCAGTTGCTGAAATTCTTCATTCCCAAGTTCATGAGTTAGTTGACTATTTTTCCAAGAAATATAAATTCAAAGAGTCAGAATTATTTTTCCCCAAACAGCTTCTTTTCATTGCTAGATATAAAGTCCCCTGGATTTTAAAATGGCATTATTCGATTAATTGGAACACACGAGTTTTATCCCGAAAATACTCTGTTAAATGGGGGGATAAATTCCAAGTTGACAGAATTGCTGTTTATGTCTATAATGACTTCCTTTCAGTTGCACAGTCACAGAATCCTAAGCCTTCTTCTTCTGGCACCTCACAAGCTTCCCTCTCAGTCGAAGGAAAATCCAAAGCTGAGCTTCAAGAAATTGCTAAACAATTAATTATTCAAGCCTCTCAAATGGACGATGATGATGAGACCTCCCCAAGATCACAATCTTCTACTAGTCAACCAAATCTGCCTGCTCGTCAAAAGAGTCCCTCTCAGCCAAAGCGGTGGGTGGATTACCAAGATAGTCAGGATCCATATGATCTTAATTCTGACTAAGTCATCATGTCCACAGTTGCTCAAAGTTGCAACCAACCAACAATGTGGATGGTGGCATTTGCAAATCATTGGTGGAGACACAAGGCTATGCTTGCGAAGAACATAAAGTAACTAAGTTTTATAAAATGCCAGCCCTTAGTTTTATCTTTTTTCATCAGTTTATTTATGTCACTCTTTTTTTGGCATTGACTAATTAAACTTTGTTGTATCTTTTTTCATGGAACTTTTGGTGGGTTTAAGGTTAACAACAGCAGATGGTTATGTCCTTGGCTTGCAAAGGGTTCCAGCTGGTCGGTCCGGTAACAAGACAGCAGCTAAGCTGCCTGTTTTGTTACAACATGGACTCCTTATGGTTTGTACCTAATTGAGCCACCATATATCTGAACCCTAAATGTACACAGTACATGGCATAACAAACCAATTAAGAAACAATTTATGTGTGATAACAGGATGCTTCAGCTTGGCTGCTCAATGAGCCGGATAAGGCTTTGGCATTCATCTTGGCAGATAATGGTTTTGATGTATGGCTTGCCAACGCTCGCGAGACAGAATCTAGCGGCGAACACACATCACTTAGCCCTAATGATCCGGTACGATCACTTTGCTTTTATTTTAATCACACCATAATCTGCATCGTAATTAAGCTTATATGTGCTAATGATACATGTTTATATATGTAGGCATACTGGGACTGGTCATGGGATGAATTGACTGCTTATGATCTTCCTGCTGCATTCCAGTATGTGAACAATCAATCAGGACGGAAATTACATTATGTTGGTCATTCCTTGGTAAATATTTGCTGGATCCAGGTTTTTTTCTTTTCTTTTTTTTCTTTTTTGTAACACATATAATTAACAAATAAATATGACTGAGACTTGGAAAGTATTGAAATTATAGGGAACTTTGACTGCCCTTGCCGCCTTCTCCCAAGAAAAGCTGTTAAACCTGCTAAGATCAGCTGCTTTGCTTAGTCCAATTGCTTATCTTGGTCAGATATCGCCGTTTGGAAGAACTGCTGCCGACATATTTTTAGCTCAAGTAACACAACTCAATGAACTTTTATTTTATTTTGAAATTATGGGATTCTTAGTTCATTCATTATCAAGTAGATTAACTGACCAACACAGAAAGCATACTAGGCGCAGCCATAGCCACCGCACCAGCAAGGTCCCCATCAGAATTCCGAACAATGATACCAACTCTGCGGGATCCATCATTCAAATCCACCGCAACATCAACATTTAATTTAGAATACCCAGTCTGCGGCTGTTGGCACCGGACCACATTAGACGGCAAAGAAGCCTTCCTATGACGATCCAAAATATCAGCTTTGTATTCGACATCATAGTTCTTTACCCGACAAAGAATCTCCTATACTTGTAGAGCACCAACACCAAACAGCACATTAACTATACATATTATATTAAGTATTTTTTCCGTTTTTTTGTTAGAGCATCTCCAATCATACACCCTATTTTAGAGTTTAGTTTTAATAAAGCTATATAGTTATTCCAAAGCTCTTCATAAAATTTATATATAGGGAGTTATAATGAGTAGGCCTACTTAAATGAGCTCCTAGGAGTTAAGAAAGTCTCCATTGGATTCCTTAAATGAGATAGTAGGTCTTCTAGGAGCTCCTACACATCAGAAGCGATAAAGAGATTCCTAATGACTCCTTATTATTAATGATTAGTATTTTAGCTTCTTTTTTGTTCTTTTTTTTTTTTTTGGAGCCATTCTAACATGATTTTTTATCCACAAACCCTTAGGGGCTGATTGTTACACAGGCTTAGACTAAATTTACTCCTCATGTTTGTTTCATCTAATCCTAGTCTTTATTCATGTTTGCTCCTACTCATTTTAACTCCCTAAATTAGGGGCATGATTGGACCATAACTTTTACAAAAAGCTCCCAAAATAGCTCGCTATTCTTTTTAGGTTTATAAAGATCTTATCATGGTGGATGATGTGAGCGTATGGAGTAGCTGATCGATTGGCCAATTATGCTTTGTCCTATTCTGGAGGTTCTCATAGGCATGAATGGTTTGGGATTCCCCCTGATTGGCTCCAAGATACTCTTGTACATGATGATTTGTACGTGATTTTGGTTTTGTTATTTGATGGCATGTGTTGTACTCTTTTTTATCCTGGGATTTTATCCCACGTAGTTATCTCCAAGAAGGTTTTACTTGAGCTGCATTTAATTACTCTAGTTTAGGGAGTAAACCTTTCGATTTATGATGCCTTTAGGACTCGTAAACCTTTCGATTTATGTTTTTTTTTTTTAATATAGAAAGGGAATTTGAACTTGGAACATTTTCAAAGAAAGTAGAGAGAAAAAAATTAAAAAAATTAAAGAAAAGAAGGGATCGCGTCCTTTTGATCCCCACGTCATTTTGCCTCTATTCTCATATTTTCCAACACTGAGGACATTGAACATATGTTTTTGAACAACCAAGGGCAACCGTCAATTTTAATGTCAAAGAGCTGTAACTGCACATTATAAAAAAAAAATGTTTTACTGTTACTGCACAATGAAAACTATTGAGTGTAGAGGCACTTAATTATTATTGCACAAAAGAGACTACTGAGTGCAGAAACACTCCAGGGAGGGAAAAAAGGAAACTAACAAAACATTTGAAGGGAAAAAAAATCGCAATAGTAAGACATGATGCAATGAGCCTGGTGAGTGAGAAGAAAATATCAAAACATGTGACAAAAGGCAATGATAAGGTAATATGGTTATATAAGGTAGACAACGGTAATTTGGAATAATAACAAATGAATTCGTTACGAGCCATACACATAAAAAATGATCGGATTGAGCACATGAATTTTTTTTGGGTATTATTATCTCATTAACAAATCAAAATCTTATTTTTATTAGAAAAAAGTAAACTATTTCTTGAAATGTTAGTGCATTTGGAAAATACACCTCATTCCCTTTGAAATAGGAGGGAAGGAAAATCTTCAATGGCCTATGTATCTATTCAATTGTAGCTTCATTAGCTCATTTTTTTTCTCTTCTTCTACACTGGTTTTCGACACTGGTTTTCTTGCGAAGTATTCACACACAAAAATATTTTGGAGCTGTTGTGACAACAATTGTTTCCCATATGTTGAGATCCAATTATTGCCAATATTTTGGAGCAGGTCGAATTGTTGTCTGACAAATATGTTGATGTATAGAATATTATCAAATCCATTATAATTCCCACAAAATAAATTTGGAAATACCCGTCAACATAGTGGGTTTGGAAATGATAAGTTTCCTTCATGATTATTTCATCTTCTACCTTAAACTTTGACAAAATATGGAAGTTTTTCTCAATTTCTTCCTTCAACATATCTTGAATTTAGCGAGTTATCCAATCTTAAACACCAAACATAATCGTAGTGATGGGTAGAGGTGGAAGCAAGTAGAAAGAATACGAGAAAGCTTGAAAATTTAGTCTTGGAGCGTTAAGAAAAAACATCTAGTGCTGTGCTCGTTCAGTCCAATTTAGTTTACTTTAATCCTCAAATTAGCTTCGAAACTGAAACTTATACACAGTCTGGTTTTAGTTTGATTTTCATATTAATAGATTTGGATTTAAACAAAGAAGTAAAATTAAACATAACCGGTCCTGCATTAAATTTTTGAACTCCATTTTGTCAAGTGGAAAGAATTTTAGAAAGACTGAAAGAGAGTAATAGGGGCAGACACAAGTTGTAAAATGCCACCTCAGTCCCCACCCCCTAAACCCCAAAACTTCACCTTCTTCCACGGCCACCCTCACCGCACCGCCCTCCAGCCCGCGGCGGCCTCTTCTCCAACCGCGTCTCCCTCCCAAACCGCAGATACCCCACCGCCGCCCCCCAACCTCAGTCCTTCGAACTCTCCAAATGGGATCCACACCTCCCCCAATCCTCGCCCTCCACTTCATCATCCAACCCTGCCGACACGACACTCCTCTCATTTCTCTCCCCTATCGCTCGCTTCATTCTCGACGCGTTCCGCAAGAACCAGAACCACTGGGGCCCACCAGTCGTCTCGGAGCTCCGAAAGCTCCGCCGGGTTACGCCCGACCTCGTTGCCGAGGTGCTCAAGGTCCAAAACGACCCCGTCTCCGCTTCCAAGTTCTTCCACTGGGCAGGTAAGCAAAAGGGTTTCAAGCACACTTATGCTTCCTACAATGCCTTGGCCTATTGTCTGAACAGGTCCAACCGGTTCCGGTCCGCGGACCAAGTCCCGGAGTTGATGGACTCGCAGGGCAAACCGCCCAGCGAGAAACAGTTTGAGATTCTCATCAGAATGCACTCCGATGCCAATAGAGGTCTTAGGGTATATTACGTGTATGAAAAAATGAAGAAATTTGGGGTTAAACCCAGGGTTTTCTTGTACAATAGGATCATGGATGCGTTAGTGAAGTCGGGTTATTTGGATTTGGCATTATCGGTTTATGAAGACTTTAGGGGTGATGGGTTGGTCGAGGAGAGTGTTACTTTTATGATCTTGATAAAGGGTCTTTGTAAAATGGGAAGAATGGATGAAATGTTGCAGCTTTTGGAGAGAATGAGGGTGAATTTGTGTAAACCTGACGTGTTTGCATACACGGCAATGATTAAGGTTTTGATTTCAGAGGGAAACTTGGATGGCTGTTTGAGGGTTTGGGAGGAAATGAAGAGAGATAGGGTAGGGGCAGACGTTATGGCATATGCAACTCTGGTTACGGGTCTGTGTAAGGGAGGGAGGGTGGAGAAAGGATACGAGTTGTTTAGGGAGATGAAGGTTAAGGGTTTCCTAATTGATAGAGCTATTTACGGGGTGTTGATTGAGGGGTTCGTGGCAGACAGGAAGGTTGGAGCGGCATGTGATTTGTTGAAGGATTTGATGGATTCAGGGTATAGGACAGATTTGGGGATATATAATTCTCTTATTGAGGGTTTATGTAATGCGAAGCGGGTTGACAAAGCTTATAAGATTTTCCGAGTTACAGTTCAAGAGGGTCTTCAGCCAGATTTTGCTACGGTGAATCCCATTTTGGTGTCTTATGCTGAGATGAGAAGAATGGATAACTTTTGCTATATGCTTGCAGAGATGGAGAAATTTGATTTTCCTGTTATTGATGATCTTTCAAAATTCTTTTCCTTTATGGTAGGAAAGGAGGATGGAGTACCGTTAGCTTTGGAAGTGTTTGGGGAGTTGAAAGTTAAAGGTTATTATAGTGTTGGAATCTACAATATCCTTATGGGATCCCTCCACAAATCTGGGAAAGTGAAGAAAGCATTGTCTCTCTTTAATGAAATGAAGGATGTGGATTTGCAGCCCGACGCGTCTACTTATAGCATTGCAATTATGTGTTTTGTTGAAGATGAGGACATCCATGAGGCTTGTGCCTCTCATAATAAGATAATTGAGATGTCTTGTGTTCCTTCTATCTCTGCTTATTGTTCTCTTGCAAGAGGTCTTTGCAAAGTTGGCGAGATTGATACAGTTATGCTGCTTGTTCGTGACTGCTTAGCCAGTGTGACAAGCGGGCCCATGGAATTCAAGTATTCTCTTACCATTCTCCATGCATGTAAATCTAATAATGCTGAGAAGGTGATTGAAGTACTAAATGAGATGATGCAGGAGGGTTGTCCTCCGGATGATGTTATATACTCTTCTATAATCTCTGGCATGTGTAAGCATGGAACAATAGAGGAGGCAAGGAAGATATTTTCTAATTTGAAAGAGCGCAAACTTTTAACAGAAGCCAACGTGATTGTGTATGATGAAGTATTAATTGAACACATGAAGAAGAAGACGGCAGATCTGGTGGTGTCAGGATTGAAGTTTTTTGGTTTAGAATCTAAGTTGAAAGCAAAGGGTTGTAAACTGCTGTCGGGATGAATTATGAAGCCAGGTACTGAATTCACTGGTTTCTTGGCTTTTAACATGTTTAATATGTATAAGATAGTCCATAACCCATTGGAGAGTACGTACCTTCTGTTGCAATTTGCTTTTAATGCATGAAGTTGTATCGGGTGAACACTGCGATTAAGATCTGTATGTATTTGTGGTTGTAGTCTTCAGAGTGGCAGATGGTGCACCTTTCCAGGGTAGCGTTATGAGGCTTCATATCAGCGGGC